TGGGATCACAACGTAAATGGGGTGGTCTGGGAAGACCTCTCTGAGGAGGTGACATTTGAACAAAGACTGAAGGAGGGGAGGAGGAGTCACAAAGATACTTGAAAAAGCCTTTCAGGTAAAGGGGACAGCCAGTGCAAAAGCCTGAGGTGGGAGTGCCTGGTGCGATGAAGACAGCGACGAGCCAGTCAGTGTGGCCAGAGTGGGTGAGTGAGGGAGCAGGTGGGGGTACAGTGTAGGTCGTGCCTGGCCTTGGGCCATGGAGAGGACTTTGCTTTTGCTCCAAGGAAGGTAGGAGCTACTGATAGTTACCTTTTTACCGGAGTCAAATTTAGATACTGTAGATCCACTCATTGTTAGTGTAGAGTTGGGTGGTTTTGAGTACATTATACAGTTGCGCAGTGCAACCATCAAACAGTCCCTCTGAGAATACTTCCCTCCCCTCAGAAAGTTCCTTTTGCAGCCTGTCAGCTCCCAGGCCCAGACAGCCACTGCGGTGCTTTCTGTCTCTATAATTTTCTAAAAATTTCTTAAACATGGAAGTAGAGAACATTGAGCGTTTTGTGTTGGCTTCTCTCATTTGGCACAGTGGTTTCAGGGTTTGTGTGGCTACCCTGATCTGCAGTTGTTCTTTTGTATTGCCTAGTAGTATTCATAGACCCGTCACAGTTCATTCATTCATTCACTGCAAGAAATTTGGGTTGTTTATAGTTTTCGGCTATTTCGAGTGATGCGATGTGCAAGCTTTTGTGTGGATGTGTTTTTTGTCTCGGATGCCACCTAGGATGTGTTTGCTGGTTTGCTTGGTCGGTTGCATGTGTCACTTGTTCAGTAACTGCCGTGTTTTCCAAAGTGGTTGCACCGTTTCGCATTCTCCCAGCAGTGGACCAGGCTTCCTATTTGACCACATCTCGCACTTGTGGTTGTCCATCTTTCTGATTGTGGCCATCCTAGTGGGTATGAAGTGGCATCTCATTGTGGTTTATTTATTTATTTATTTTTAATGTATATTTTCAAAAAATATAGAGATGGGTCTCGCTCTTGCTCAGGCTGTCTCGAACGCCTGAGCTCAAACGATCCTCCACTTTGGCCTCCCAGAGGCTAAGATTACAGGTGTGAGCCAGGGAACCGCCTCGCTGTGGTTTCAATTTGCCTTTCCATGGGATGGTTCCCAGTCAGATTGCCCATCACTGTTGGTAAGAGAAGAGACTCGGGAGGCAGCCAAATGTGGGTTCAAATCCTGGCCTGACCTCAAGCTTCTGTCCTGACCCCGAATCTGCTCAGACCTGCTGAAACCCTTACATGGGCCCCCCAAGTCTCCTGGAGCGAGGCCGGCCTGAAGAGGAGGCCGGTGCTTCATCCTGTCCCCAGAACGTGGCTGCCTCTGTCTCAGCCTGTGGGTCTCACCCAGAGGTCAAAAGCAGCTCTTCAGGGAGGCCTCCTTGACCACCCGATCCCACACGGGTCCCTGTGCCCCACCCTGGTCGCCGTCACTTCCCCCCGTTGTTTTCCAGAGCACTTTTTCCTTTGCCATTTCTAATTACCCTGTTTACTATTAGCAGGTGTGTTTCCCCTAGACCCCGAGCTCTGGGCAGGCAAGGCCCAGAGCTGTGTGGCCACCACTGGTCCCACTGCCTGGCACAGGGCCTGGCACGCAGTAGGTGTGCAAGAAAATTTTTTTTTCAACACACAAAGGAAAACTTTTTTTTTTTTTTGAGGCAGAGTCTTGCTTTGTTGCCCAGGCTAGAGTGAGTGCCGTGGCATCAGCCCAGCTCACAGCAACCTCAAACTCCTGGGCTCAAGCAATCCTCCTGCCTCAGCCTCCCAAGTAGCTGGGACTACAGGCATGCGCCACGATGCCCGGCTAATTTTTTCTATATGTATTAGTTGGCCAATTAATTTGTTTCTATTTATAGTAGAGACGGGGTCTCGCTCTTGCTCAGGCTGGTTTCGAACTCCTGACCTCGAGCAATCCACCTGCCTCAACCTCCCAGAGTGCTAGGATTACAGGCATGAGCCACTGCGCCCGGCCAAAGGAAAACTTTTCTGTCCCCAAAATACCAGCTTTTTTTATACAATTTGTTCCTATGATCAGAGAGGTGAAGTGACATGCCCAGGTTATCACAGCTGAGAACTGTGGGACCAGGACTCCAGCTTGGGGTCCATCTGACCCTGGAGCCACAACCTTTTACCATGGTGCTGTTCCATGCTTTGGGAGAGGACAGAAGAGAACTCTTGCTGGTGAAGGGGACAAGAGGTGACAAGTGACACATTTAATGGGCGCTAGCTCCAGCTCCATCTGGCAGCAGGGGCCTTCGTCCCTGTTCCTGGGGTGTTTGCTGTCTGGTTGGTGTTGCAGAGGAGTGGGCTCGTGGCTGGGGTAGGCCAGGCAGTGGAGCCTCGGAGGGGAGTGGGTTTGAGTGGTCTAGGCATCCAAGGCAAGCTGCGCAGGGAGCAGTGAGTCACCGTGTGTTTGTTGACTCCACAGGTGTTTATCACACCTTGCTCTATGCCTGCCATGTTCCCGAGGACACCCCTGGGAAGCCACAGGGTGCAGGGAGAAGGCAGGCATAATGTCCCTATCTTGGTCCCTTTCAAACCCGACATTCAGACACTCTCCTGTTCCGAGCATCTGTTTATAAGCAAAGATTCCTCCTCGGGGAAGCCCTACCTGACTTCCTGGCCTGCCCCCACTCCTTCTCTGTCATCCTGTCACTGTGACCCAGACAAGTGGCCATCCCTCCTGTGACCCAGACAAGTGGCTTAACCTCTCTGAGCCTCCGTTTGCTCAGCTGCTGAATGGAGCTGTCCATAGTGCTGGCCTCGCAGGGTTACTGTGGCGTGTTCTGCCACGTACATGTCCACCGGGGCTCATGGCAGCATGGCTGACACTCTGCTTGTGTTCTTCTGTGTCTGCCTCGCCTGCTGGCCTAGGAGCCCCTGGAGGACAGGGAGTGGCACAGGGGACGCCTCAGGAACTATTTGCCTAGGGAAGGACCTTTCAGGTACACCCCAGCCTTGAAGAATCTGGCTCCTGCCGTGAGACCCCTTCTGCTGTTGTCCCCAGTAGCCACCTCCTTGCATCCTGCTCCAGCCCCAAGGAACAATGGACAGTCATCAGAATCAGACTGTGTCTCTCGTCTTCTGTTTCTGTACCTGCTGGTTTCCTCACTTCCTCCTTTGCGCCGCTGGCTTGCTGTATTTCAGGTCTCAGCTCCGTCGCCCAGTCCTCCAGGAACCTGCCCTTGACCCCTAGGCTGGACCAGGCATCCCTTTGGGCTCCTGCTCCTAGCTCTGCCCACTCTGGATCAACACTGTCTAGACATGTGTCTGTCTTCCCCACTGGACTGCTGAGCCTCAGGAAGACAGCACAGGACTGTCTGGGCCACCACTGTGTCCCCAGCACAGAGGAGGTGCTCAGAGATCATTTTTCTCCTAATAGAAGAAGACCCACCACCCTTTCTAGGTGCTTTTATTTATTCATTCTCCAGTCATTTTTTTAAAATTTAATTTTATTTTTTTGAGACAGAGTCTCACTGTGTTGCCCAGGCTAGAGTGCTGTGGTGTCAGCCTAGCTCACAGCAACCTCAAGCTCCTGGGCTCAAGCAATCCTCCTGCCTCAGCCTCCCCGAGTAGCTGGGACTACAGGCATGCGCCACCATGCCCGGCTAATTTTTTCTATATATATTAGTTGCCCAATTAATTTCTTTCTATTTGTAGTAGAGATGGGGTCTCACTCTTGCTCAGGCCGGTTTCAAACTCCTGACCTCGAGCGATCTGCCCGCCTCGGCCTCCCAGAGAGCTAGGATTACAGGTGTGAGCCACCAGGCCCGGCCGCATTCTCCAGTCATTGGTCAAGCAGGCCCTCTTGACCAATGCTGTGCTCGGCCTTCTGGGTGTATGGTGGTGCCTAAGGCAGCTCCTGTGTCTCAGGTCCTGTTCTTCCTCTTTACCCTGGCCTCTGTCCCCCACAGGTGACCAGCAATGGCAGCATCGGGAGGGACCCGCCGGCTGAGACCCAGCCCCAGAACCCACCACCACAGCCAGCACCAAATGCCTGGCAGGTCATCAAAGGCGTGCTGTTCAGGTGAGCAGTGGGGTTTCGGTTTGTTCACACCAAAAAATTCAAATAAGAAAGGCATAGGGAAGAAAGGAAAATCACCTGAGGTTGATGATCCTCACTGTATTGGTGGAGATTCTTCTTTTCGTATTTTTAACTTTTTTTTTTTGTTACTGTGGTGAAATATACTGAAGTAGTTTGCTAAGAAGTAATGAGTACTGTAAGAAGTAATGAGACTGAGTGGCTTAAACAACAGAAATAAAGAAATTTATTTTCTTGTAACCCTGGAGGCTAGAAGTCCAAGATCAAGGTGTAGGCAGGGTTGGTTTCTTCTGAGTCCTCTCTCCTTGGCTTGCAGAGAGCCATCCTCTCCCTGTGCCTTCATGTGGTCCCTGCTCTCTGTGTGTCTGCGTGCTAATCTCTTATGAGGACACTACTCATGTTGGCTTAGAGCCTACCCTAATGACCTCATTTGTTCTTAATTACTTTTTTTAAAGACCCTATCTCCAAATATAATCACTGAGGTACTGAGGGTTAGGACTTCAACATACGAATTTTGAGGGACACGATTCAGCCCACACCTATACATAACATAACATTTACCATTTTACCCATTTTCAAGTGTACAGTTGGTGGCATTAAGTAGATTCCCACTGTTGCACACCCATCACCATTATCCATCTCCTGAACTTTCTTATTTTCCCAAGCTGAAACTCCGTACCCATCAGACACTAACTCCTCATTCCCTCCTCCCCCAACTCCTGGCAGCCACCTTTCTACTTTCTGTCTCTGTGACTTTGATTATTCCAGTTAGCTTCTGTAAGTGGAATTGCGCAGCATTGTCCTTTTGTGGCTGGCTGGTGGTGACCCTGTACGTGCGGATTCACATGCCCGTTCCTGGGCAATGGAGACACAGGGCCTGCGTCTGTCTGAGCCCCAGGGGGAGGTGCTGGGTGGGAGTTGGGGGGATACACCTGGCACTGGGTGCTGGGTGCTCTCGCTGCCTGCCTAGACCTGGTGACAGTCTCCTCCTCTGCTCTGGGCCTTTGTTTATTCATCTGTAAAATGGACATCCCCTCCCTTTTTGGAGAAGAGACCAGGCTATGCACTTAGGCAATCAGCCCCCACCCCATCAACTGTAAGTAATTTCATGGCAGAGGTGTTTGAAACCGTCATGTCTTTGGTTAGAACATCCTCACGTGGCCATGGCCAGTGCAAAGGAGGCTGGGAAATGTAGTCTTTATTCTGGGAGAGCAGGCACCCTGCTGCAAAGCAGGGCTTCTGTGCCGAGGAAGAAGGGCAGAGTGGGTTTTGGAGGGGCAACTACTCATCTCTTCCATATCATCCTATTACGTTTTCCCCTAAACTTACAAATAATATGTGTTTATTGTACAAAATAAAATAATTCAAACAATATAAAGAAAACAGTAATGAAAAAACATAACATATTGGTGCCCATCCTATGAGCACCTACCCGGTACCTTTTTAATTGGCCCTAAATGGGATTATATAAGGATGCTCACAGATAAGAGTTAATTAGCATTTCTCAGCATCCTAAAATAGAGGGAAAATTAGGGAAAATAGAGAAAAATTAGGAGCTGGGATCCACTAATGAAATTTGAGGGAGTGACTAGCATGTAAGAGCACAGGCCTGTTCTGCCATCTTAGCCCTGCCACCTCTGAGCTGTGTGGCCTGGTCAGGTGATACCCTTTTTGTGCCTCAGTTTCCACCTCCCAGATAGGAATCCTGGCAGTTAGCTCAAGAGTCATCAAAAGGATGCCAGGAGAATTGGTGCCACCCAGAGGGTGCAGGACCTGGCTCTCTCTCAGGCAGCGTTGGCTATGATTGCTTTTGTAGATGGCTTTGCTTGTTTGATGTAAAAAAAAAAAAAAACAAACCTTAGAAAAATATATCATAAAGAGAAACAGCTAGAAAAATTGCCCACGATGCCCGATGCAGTCATCATTCTGGTGTGGGACAGAACTGCCCGCCTGGTGTCCTTCAAGGGTGTCACGCAGGATGCTGAGAAAGAAACCTCCCCACTGTGTTCATCCTCGACACTCGGGCATCGCTCCTGCCATGCGTGTCCCTGGCGTGCCGCCCGTGGGCCCTGCCTCTTACCCTCCCCCACTCCCACCCCCAACCACGGCCAAGTAATGACTTAGGGTTTTCTTATATATCATCTTTTTTTTTTTTTTAATGCTCCAAGCAGCTTTGCATAAAGATTATTTTTATCTTTCTCTTCATTTTTACATAAGAGCTAGCCTGTTTTACACACTGTTCTGCTCCTTGAGTTTTTCATTAACAATATATCTTTGAAATCTTTCCACGTCAGTACATAAGGGAGCTTCCTTCAGAGAGACATTTTTAATACAGTCACGGTGTAGGCTAATTTCCTTTCTTAGAGCTTGGCAGCACCAAACATCAGCTCGGGTGGGTGCTCAGAGACCATCTCAGCTGGAGTTCTTAAAATGGGATTTAGGGTTTGTTTTCAGGGGCCCATGAACTCCCCAAAGCTTCAAGCAGATTCTGTGAGAATGGCCTTTCTGGGGGCTGGGGGGGGGCGGTGTCCATGGTTTTGAGCACGTGTGGTTACCTGGAGTGGGAGGTGGGGTAGGAACTGGGTATACAAAGGAATGGGGTGGGAGGGAGGGTTTTTCTTATATGTATCTTTTCATATATTTAAAATTCTTCTGAACCTGTGAACATTCACTACCTGTTCAGGGTGGGAGGGAGGATTTACTGTCTATTTTATTTGCTTAAATAAATCGGAGAGCATTAGAAAGGTCTGGTCCCCCGTGGGCCTGGCTGCATGGATGAAGGGCAGCGTCCACAAGACTGGGTGTCTGGATGCCCACGTGTCCCTGGGGGACTGGGGATCTGGAACCCTATAAAGGCGTGGTTTAGTCTGCCTTGTTTTATGCTTGAGGACCCAGAAGCCCAGAGTGGTTGGGACCCCCACGGGTCACACACTCAGCAGGAGCAGAGCTGCCTGTGGGTGTCCCTGCTGCCACACTCTCCCTTGGTGTATTTGCTAAAACAGGAGCCTCTCCTGGAGCTGGGGGGGTCCCCAGAGATTGCCACTTTCAGACTTTGCCCAGCTATGCGCCTCGGGGACTTCTTGGGGAGGCAGCAGATGGCTCAGCTGGGCCAGGGCCCCTGAGACCCCAGACTCCTGGGCTCCGGGGTTTCTACAGGCAGAGGCAAGTCCCTGTGCCCAGTCTTGCCCGGATCAGGGGTCAGCAGGGAGGCACCCTACCCACGCTGGAATTCACTCCCAGTATTTTTTCATTCCAGAGTTTTTGTATGCGTTTTTCCTATGATGAGAATAACAGTAATATCTAACACTTCTAAAGCATTATTGGGTTGGACCAGTCTCCCTTTGGGTGATGTGTATATGTATAATTTAATGCATTTAATGCTTATAAACAGTCCTATGAGGGTAGATAGATACTGTCATCATTCCCATTTTAACAGTAGAGGAAACAGAAGTCTAGAAAGGTTGAGTCTTGCTTGAGGTCACACAGTCGGTAAGCAGCAGAGCTGGGCTTCAGATCCAGGTGTTGTAGTTTAGACGCTGGGCGCTTAACCTTTTTCTGCTATATTGCTTTTCATACCTGTAATTAATAAGTACATGTATCATTTAATAATTACACAGCTGCATGTATCTGAGAGACCTAAATTAATACAATAGAGGCTTATTTCTCTCTCATATACCAGTCTGGATGTAAGCAGACCAGGGTTCTGCAGTTTTCTGTAACCCAGACTCCTTCCTGTTTCTTGTTCTACCCCTGCCAGGTTTTGCCCCTTATCCTCATGGCCCACAATGGCTGCTGAAGATCCAGCCATCATATACACATTCTGAGCAGTAGGAGGGAAGAAGAAATCAAGAAGAGACACTCCTTTTCTTTAAAGACACTTCCCCAAAGCCAACATAACATGTTGTTGTAGGAGTTTCTTTATTGAGGGAGACGGAGAAGATAGATATTGGGAAAAAACTAGCAGTGTAGCAGTTTTGTTTTGGGTCTTTTGTTCATTAAAATTCAAGTAAAGAAGGAAATAAAAATCACGTGAAGTTGACCATCATTATTGGTGATCTTTTTACATGTTGATTCAGATGCATGCTGCTATATTATGCACAATTTTTAAGATAGTGTTCTTCCTCAAAGCAAAGGAATCAGTTTTCAAGTCTGATGTGTATTGTTTTGTACCTTTCTCTGTTTTTATTTTTATGTCTTTATAGATAGGTGTTTGGGGTTTCTTTTTCTTTTCTTTCTTTTCTTTTTTTTTTTTTTTTTGCCTTAAAAGTTAGGTTGATGTGCATAACATAAAATTTGCCATTTGCTATTTTTTTTGAGACAGAGTCTCACTTTGTTGCCCAGGCTAGAGTGAGTGCCATGGCGTCAGCCTAGCTCACAGCAACCTCAAACTCCTGGGCTCAAGCAATCCTCCTGCCTCAGGCTCCCAAGTAGTTGGGACTACAGGCATGCACCACCAGGCCCGGCTAATTTTTTGTATATATATATATTAGTTGGCCAATTAATTTCTTTCTATTTATAGTAGAGAGGGGGTCTCGCTCTTGCTCAGGCTGGTTTCGAACTCGTGACTTGAGCAGTCCGCCCGCCTCCTCCCAGAGTGCTAGGATTACAGGCATGAGTCACCTCGCCTGGCCCATGTAACCATTTGTAAGTGTGCAGGTCTGTGGCATTAAGCACATTCACATTGCTGTGCAGCCGTCACCGCCCTCCCATCTCCAGAACTTTCATCTTCCTCAGCTGAAACCCTGTGCCCATTAAACACCGAACTCCGCATTCCTCCTCCCCGTAGCTCATGTTTGTTTGTTTTAACATAGTTTATTACACAAAAATGCAATCCTATTCTATATATCTTTCCTTCATCTTTTTGCTTTTAACAGTATATCCTGGAAATATCTCCAAGTCAATTATAATTCTAAGACTTTGTGATACTGTGTTTATTTGACCTTGTGAATTGAAAAAAAAAAGATTCCGAAATATTTGTTTTAACCAAGAGACTTATTTTATTTCTATTTCTGTTTTTTCTGTGATATTACAAGTACGAGTACTTCTGAAGCTCCCTTGATGCACACTTTGAGGATTTTATAACTCAGATTGTGAAACTTCAGAGTTCCATGTTCCTGAGCTTCTCTCATCTCATTGGTATCTCTTGTTTGTGCCGGTTCTTGCTCATAGCATCTTGTTTACTTTTGTGCCTGGCCTGTCTTTGGTTGCGTGTTGGTCTTTTTATACTTGAAAAGTTATTTAGAGGAAGAATTGCAGGCCTAGGATGAGCATATTTGCTTACAGAGAGGATTTTTCTTTGCTTCTGTCAGCTGCCTGGAGACATTATTAGTCTGGGGTCTCCTTGCGCCAGGTTTAAGCTTGAGCTGCCCTGCGTACCTGCAGCACAAGTCCTTGGGGGTAGGAGTGGGGGGGCAAAGTACTGGGGGGTGGGAGTGAGGCAGAAGTTCTGGGGTGCACAAGTCCTAGGGAGTGGGAGTGAGGGGCACAAGTCCTAGGGGGTGGGAGTGAGGGGCACAAGTCCTAGGGGGTGGGAGTGAGGGCACAATGCTAGGGTGGGAGGAGGCACTAGGGATTGGGGGCACAGTCTAGGGGTGGAGTGAGGGGCACAGGTCCTAGGGGGTGGGAGTGAGGGGCACAGGTCCTAGGGGGTGGGAGTGAGGGGCACAGGTCCTAGGGGTGGGAGTGAAGCGGGGCCAGCAAAGTTCCAATACCAGGGGAAGATGATGTGAGAGAGAGAAAGAGGGACAAGATACAAGTAGAGAAGGAGAAGAGAGGGAGGTGGCACAAGTCCAGGGGGGGGTTGGGAGTGAGGGGGGACGTGCTAGGGGTGGGAGTTGAGGGGCCGTCCTGGGGGTGGATGACGGGCCATCTACCGGGGGTGGGACGTGAGGGGCCACAAGTCCTAGGGGTGGGAGTTGAGGGGCACAGTCCTAGGGGTGGGAGTGAGGGGTCACAGGTCGCTAGGGGGTGGGAGTGAGGGCACCAAGTCGCTACGGGGTGGAGTGAGGGGCACAAGGTCCTAGGGGGTGGGTGAGGGGATCAAGTTAGGTGTGGAGTGAGGGGCACAAGTCCTAGGGTGGGAGTGAGGGGCCCCACAAGTTCCCTAAGGGGGTGGGAGTGAGGACAAGTCCTAGGGTGTGGAGTGAGGGGCCCAATCAAGTTCTAAGGGGGTGGGAGTGAGGGGCCCAAAGTCCTAACGGGCGTGGGCAGTGAGGGGCACGAAAGTCGCTAGGGGGTGGAGTGGAGGGGCCCATAATCTAGGGGTGGGAGCTGAGGGGCATAAGTTCTAGGGGTTGCGGACTGAGGGGCACAAGTCCTGGGGGTGGGGGGGGCCCAGAAAAAACAGTCCTGTGGGGCGGATGGGGGTGGAGGGGCACAAGTTCCTGGGGGTTGGGAGTGGGGGGCACAGTCCTGGGGGTGGGGGGCACAGTTGGGGTAGGGGAGCAGGTCCCTGGGGAGTGGGAGGGGGGGCACTGAAGTAACTGGGGGTGGGAGTGGGGGGATGAGGAGTGGGTGTGAGGCCTTCTGATTCCTCTTCCTAGGGGTGGAGCCCTAGGGGTGGGGTCTCAGCTCCTTATAGGGTAGGACTCTGTTTACCTCATATGGGCCATAGGCTAGCATTTCTGTCTCCCAACAAAACACCTAGCAGATGTCCTCAGACACATTAAGAAGCTTCTGGAACTCCTTTACTTCTTTAGATTCCCACTTTCCCTGCAGTTTTTGCCTGGTAGATCTGCAGTCTGGTCCATTCTTCAGTGCTTTTAAGAGTATACTGTATATTTACATATGTACCTGTGTAAGCCTAGTAAAAATTATGTGCAAGAGTACATACGGGAGAATATATGGGCAGTATATATTACCACTATAGCAATATATATAATTATAACATGTAGTGATAATTCTTAGTATGTTGGTTAATTTCATCAAGCTTTTTCAGTTCTTTCCAATGGGAGAGTTGGTCTGAATAGCCTAGCCCGCTGTTACTGAAAGAAGGACTTACTATCCGCTTTTCAAATTATCAGTTGACTTGAAGTTCAGAAATGTTCTTTCTAAGGTTCTGTGCCTCTAAGATGCTGGGATTCCAGATTCTCAGGATCCGCTCACTTGGGGATGCCAGGGGACGGGACGGCAGGTTTCCCAGTCTGAGGTTGCGCAGGTCTTGAGCCCCTGCAGCCTCGTGGTCACCAGGAGCCCTTGAAGGACTCGGGTGGGTGTTCTGCGCGGGGACCAGGGCAGTGCCAGGCCCCCCACACTGGCAGACAGTGGCGTCTGGGGTCTTTGGGGCATCTGTCTTCTCGCCAGCCCTGTGCCGAGTCCGAAGGCAGTCAGGCAGCCTGCGGAGGAAAGAAAAGGCTTGGGGACTCACCACCTGCCCCGCTTCCCTCCTCAGGATCTTCATCATCTGGGCCATCAGCAGCTGGTTCCGCCGAGGGTCGTCCCCTCAGGACCACACAGGCCCCGGCGGAGCCCCGCGCGTCGCCAGCCGCAACCTGTTCCCCAAAGACACTTTAATGGTAACTGCTGGGTGGCGGGGTGGCCTCGGAGATGACGGGAGGGGAGTGTGGAGGAGTCATACGGGCAGGGAGCTCTTCCCAAGCCCTGCTTCCCACCTGCCCGTGTTCTGAGTCGGTGGCCAGCAGCTCTCGCCTGCGCTCCGTCCGTCAGCCTCAGCGCCCCGGCCTCCGGGCCCAGCAGCCGGGAAGGCGGAAGATGGTTCAGGGAGCTCCTGCCCCTTTCTGTCCCCAAGTTCCGATGGGCAGGCTGCCAGTCTCCCAGAGTGCTTTGCTCCCTGACTTCAGGCTCAGACCAAGACAGCCATGGTGGCATGAGAAAAGAGAAAATGTATTCTATCCACTGCTACCCCCGTCTCTACTACCCCCATCCCCCCAATAATTGTCCCTGTTAGTGTGCTGACCGCGGCCACCGCTCTTGATCCGCTCACAGCCATCAGCCGGCAGGGCTCTGCCGAGCAGGCCTGAGCTCTGCCCCTTCCCCTCCCGACAGAACCTGCACGTGTACATCTCAGAGCACGAGCACTTTACAGACTTCAACGCCACGTCCGCGCTCTTCTGGGAGCAGCATGACCTCGTGTACGGCGACTGGACGAGCGGCGAGAACTCCGACGGCTGCTACGAGCACTTCGCCGAGCTCGACATCCCGCAGGTGGGGGCAGCCCCTGGTGCGTGGCCCACGGCCGCTGGACTCACGTTGAAGGGCCTTTCCTCCCGTCCACTCCCGGCCCCGGCACCTCGAGTTCAGGCCCCAGGCGTGGCCCCGCCCTCAGCCCACGTGCCCTGTGACCACAGGCAGGTCCCTGAGGTCTCAGGGCTTCACCCTCCCCCATCTAGAAAAGATAAATGGGGTAGAGTTGGCCTAGGATCCTGCCAGCTGCTTCTAAGGTTGTGTGTAGTCCTGGACTTAAACCCAGTGAAAGATTAGTGATTGTCCCCGAGGATCCGGTCATCACCAGTTTCACAGTTTCTTTTTTCTTTTTTTCTTTCTTTTATACACAAAATGTCAGGTGTAGTAAGGGAAGCACAGTTTCAAAGTAATATTAATAAACAATGATTGAGCACCAAGCTAGGCTGACTCATGGAAACCTCCCAGCAACCCCATGAAGTAGGAACTATTGTTATTCCCGTGCGACAGATGAGGAAACTGAGGTCCAGAGAGGTAAAGCTACTTATCCAAGGTCACACAGCTAGCCAGAGATTCAAACTCTGGCTCAGAACTTTGGCAGCCCGGGCTCAAATCCTGCCCCTTCCAGGTAGCCCTGCCTAACACGCAGGCTTGGTTAAGTTCTCTGTCTGGGTTCTCACACCTGCTGGCCTTCCCCATGCCAGCCCTGTCAACTCTGGTTCCTTGCCGTGTGGGACAGGTCTTCCTCCCTGGGGCTGTCTTGGTCACTTCCGTGTCCCCAGCACCACCCAGCATGGGACTGACTGCAGAATTAAGAAGTGTTGAATAAATGAGAGGGGCCTCTATCTCTTCTTTGGGGAATGGCTGCCTTCGTTCCTGTCTCCCCAGCAGGCCTTTCCGGCCTCTGCCCAGGGTTGGGATTCCTGCTGTGTTTCTCTTGGGATGACTGGAAGCAGGGTGTAGACACAGTCTCCTAACCTGCACTCAGGGGTGACTCCCACGGACACCTCAAGCCCAGCCCCAGGCCCCACCGCAAGATCCAAGGAAGGCCCAGGGCCCGGCAGGCCTGGCAGTGAGATCTGCTCCAGGGACTTGGATCTAACCTTTAAAGCTTCAGGTGGGGCCAGGATGGACTTTAAGGGCAGGAGAGCCAGATGCTTTGGTCCACGCCTGTAGTTGGAACCATGCGGGAGGCTGAGGCAGGAGGATCACTTGAGCTCTGGAGTTGGGGCTGCGGTGCATTATGATTTCCCCTGAAAGTAGCTGTTGCCCTCTAGCGTGGGCAACATGGTGAGACCCTGCTCACCGCACCCCCCAAAAAAGGCAGGAAAGTGAGGAAGACACAGTGTAGCCAGCTGTCTTGAGCTGTGCTGGGAGACAAGAAAGAGACGGCTCAAATCTGGCCTTTGCCTTCCACCCAATAACCTTGGGCAATGGGCCTCCCCTCTCGAAGCCTCAGTTTCCTCATCTGTATCAAGTGAAAACAGTCCCCTTTCCTGGGGAGGCGGGGAGAGTTAGTGAGACAATATGAGAAAGGCCTGGGCAGAGAGGGTCCAGCTGTACGTAGGTCATAGAGCGTGGAGGTGGAACAGTATGTGCGAGAGGTAGAGCCACACGGGCCCATAGACTGGGTGGCCTCCTGTCTACTTACCACGTATTACATAACCCCTTTGCCTGAGTCCTGCTCACCTCATCTTGAAAATGGAACAGTAACAGGACCCACTCAAGGGGGTTTACATCTGTTACATGATTTATTTATTTATTTATTTATTTTGAGACAGAGTCTCACTCTGTTGTCCAGGCTAGAGTGCCATGGCCTCAGCCTAGCTCACAGCAACCTCAAACTCCTGGGCTCAAGTGATCCTCCTGCCTCAGCCTCCCGAGTAGCTGGGACTACAGGCATTCGCCACCATGCCCTGCTAATATATATATATATATATATACACACACACACACACATATATATATATATATTTAGTTGCTGAGCTAATTTCTTTCTATTCTTTTTAGTAGAGACGGGGTCTTACTCTTGCTCAGGCTGGTCTCGAACTCCTGAGCTCAAATGATCCCACCACAGGCCGCCTCGGCCTCCCAGAGTGCTAGGATTACAGGCGTGAGCCACCGCGCCCAGCCTGTTACAAGAGTATGAACTCACTGTATTAGGGAGTTGCTGTGTAAAGTGTCCAGAGCAGGATACTGGCCCATGGTTAAGAGTTTGGTGTGAGTCCTGTCTGATGAATTTCTTTTTTTTTTTTCTTTTTCTTTTGAGACAGAGTCTCACTCTTTGCCTGGGGTAGAGTGCCATAGTGTCAGCCTGTCAGCCTAGCTCACAGCAACCTCAGACTCCTGGGCTCAAGCAATCCTTCTGCCTCAGCCTCCCGATTAGCTGGGACTACAGGCATGCGCCACCATGCCCGACTAATTTTTTTTCTATATAGTTTGAGTTGGCCAATTAATTTCTCTCTATTTATAGTAGAGACAGGATCTCGCTCTTGCTCAGGCTGGTTTCGAACTCCTGACCTTGAGGGATCTCCTGCCTCGGAGTCCCAGAGTGCTAGGATTATAGGCATGAGCCACCGCACCTGGCCCGATGAATTTCTTGAGAGCTCATTGACTGAGTTCTCACTCTGTGCCAGGCACCATGCCGAGCGCTCTGCATAATCCGTCGTGACTGGTGCTGTGATGACCTGCATCCTACTGTGGGGCCCTGAGCTCAAGAAGGGACCCTGAGCTCACACAGCTATTGCGGGCTAGAGCCAGGGTCTGAATCCGAGTCTGCCTGACTCCAGCATGTGGCGCTTTTTTTTTTTTTTTTTTCTGAAACAGAGTCTCACTCCATTGCCTGGGCTCGACTGTCCTGGTGTCAGCCTAGCTCACAGCAACCTCCAACTCCTGGGCACACATGATCCTCCTGCTTCGGCCTCACAAGTAGTTGGGACTATAAGCACATGCCACCACACCCAGCTAATTTTTTCTATTTTTGGTTGCCTGGCTAATTTTTTTTTTTTCTCTATTTTTTAGTAGAGATGGGGTTTTACTCTTGCTCAGGCTGGTCTTGAACTCCTGACCTCAAGTGACCCTCCCGCTTCGACTTCCCAGAGTGCTGGGATTACAGGCTTGAGCCACCTCGCCTGGCCCAGCACTTGGCTCTTAATTGCTCAGCTACACTTGCCACCCTGAGCACTCAGTAAAAGGCCAGATAATTGAGGGGGTGGGGAAACTGCTGGGGGCAGGTGTCGTGCCGGGCGTTCGTGTTCCCTTCTCCCTGGTTGGCCAGCCTGCCCACCTGTCCCCTCTGTGTCTTGCAGAGCGTCCAGCAGAATGGCTCCATCTACATCCACGTTTACTTCACCAAGAGTGGCTTCCACCCAGACCCCCGGCAGAAGGCCCTGTACCGCCGGCTCGCCACGGTCCACATGTCCCGGAGTAAGTCGCTCTCCTGACAGCCAGGACGCACCGCCCAGGGGCCTGCATCCTGGGAGCCTGTGCTCAGGGAGGCTGGGATGGGTGCCCCACCCACCTCCTATGAACTCTGTGGACACCCAGCGGGCAGACCCACAAAGGAGGAGCTTGGGGACCAGAGAGGAATCTGCTAGAAAGAGCAGATGGAGATAGGACTTTGGAGGAGAGGAGATAGTGTTCACCAAAGGAGAAGGGCCAGGGTTGGCTTGTGCTCAGCACAGGGCTGGAGAGACAGAGATGCTCGAGGATAATTTGTGAATAAACAGTGGGTTGAATGTGCAGACGGAAGCCGAGAGGGCCCCCGAGATCGCGGGTGTGATCTCTGGATTGTGTCAGTTCAGCCCCTGTGAACAGGCACTTCACGAACTTGCTGCGTGGGGGGCGTCAGTGTCCGTGCATGTGTTTCGTGGCGTGGCACCCGGCTCCCAGGGGCCTGTTCGGATGGGTCCTGCGAGGCTGTGCTGTGAGTCACCACTTCCCCAAGGTGCACACCTGAGCAGCGCCCTTCCTCGGTGGGGCAGGTGGTGAGGGGCCACGTGACTGGATGAGACCTTCCATTGCAAGGACTGTCCCCATTTCCACCCTGGCTGGCTGCCCAGGTGGTGCTGAAGCCCCACTGGGAGAATCCCAGTTGAGTGAACAAACCCCTGGGACCTTCCAGTCCCAGGGAGCCCTGGGTCAGGGCTGGATGTTTGCAGCTTCCTACAGAGCTTCATAATGAAAGTGAGGTTTTTCTTTACCCAGGGCACCTTGTTAAATACGTGTAAATCTCTGATTGCATATGTGGTTTAAAATTCAAATAATTTGTCAAGATAATGAAACCCAGCAGTCTGCCCTCCACACCTTCCCATCCTGCTACCCGTAGGCAACCACTTTAAAATTCATGGAGCTGTTTCTTCTGCTATCGAACCTCTATGGCTCTCATTTTTTGTGGAAATAGTGTCTTGCTGTGTTGCCCAGGCTGGTCTCAAACTCCTGGCCTCAAGTGATCCTCCACCTTAGCCTCCCAAAGTGCTAGGATTACAGGAGCGAGCCACCGCATTTGGCCAGTTTTCAGTTTTAGTTGTTATCTATTGACTTTCTATTTCTATTCTGGAAGAGGAAATCCCAACACAGGAATACAGTTTTTTTTTTATTTCTTTTTTGAGACAGAGTCTCACTTTGTTGCCCAGGCTAGAGTGAGTGCGTGGTGTCAGCCCAGCTCACAGCAACCTCAAACTCCTGGGCTCAAGCAATCCTCCTGCCTCAGCCCCCGAGTACCTGGGACTACAGGCATGCACCACCATGCCTGGCTACTTTTGTCTATATATACTCGTTGGCCAATTAATTTCTTTGTATTTATGGTGAGTCGGGGGTCTTACTCTTGCTTAGGCTGGTTTCGAACTCCTGACCTGACCTCGAACTCCTGAGCGCCTCGGCCTCCCAGAGTGCTAAGATTACAGGCGTGAGCCACCGCGCCCGGCCTCTATTGACTTTCTATTTCTACTCTGGAAGAGGAAATCCCAATGCAGGAATATAATTGTTTTTGGTTTTTTTTTCTTTTCTTTTTTGAGACAGAGTCTCACTCTGTTGCCCAGGCTAGAGTGAGGGCTGTGGCGTCAGCCTAGCTCACAGCAACCTCAAACTGGGCTCAAGCAATCCTCCTGCCTCAGCCTCCCAAGTAGCTGGGACTACAGGCATGCGCCACCCATGCCCGGCTAATTTTTTCTATATATACTCGTTGGCCAATTAATTTCTTTCTATTTATGGTAGAGTCGGGGTCTCACTCTTGCTCAGGCTGGTTTCGAACTCCTGACATCAAGTAATCCACCTGCCTCAGGCTCCCAGAGTGCTAGGATTACAGGCGTGAGCCACTGCACCCGGCCTAGGAATATGGTTTTGATTAGATTAAGACTCTCTTTCAATGCTTTTGAGGATGTGACTGTTATTCACATTCGAACCACACAGTTGAAAATAGTTATTAATTATATATTTTCCTTTCCTGTCTATGTTAGTCCTTATTCTGTTGTTTACAACAGAATATCTGAAACTGGGTAATTTATAAAGAAAATAAATTTATTTCTTACAGCTATAGAGGCTGAGAATTCCAGGGTCAAGGGGCTTCATCTGACATGAGCCTTCTTGCTGGTGGGGACTCTGCAGAGGGGGCTAAGCATGCCAGCTCAGGTCTCTCCCTCTTCTTACAAAACTACTAGTCCCATTAGTCTCTCACCCCATTAATCCGTGACTAGATTCATCCATTCATGAGGGCACAGCCCTGACCACCCAATCCCTTCTTAAAAGCCCCACTTCTCAATACTGCAACAATGGGGGTTAAATTCCAACATGAGTTTTGCAGGGCACAAGCGTTCAAACCATAGCACACTGTCTAACTTCTTGTTTTCCAGAAGGTTAATAATTGTTGTCATCTTTCTGCTTGCCTGGCTCTTTTTGACTTTTTTTCCTCACATCCACTGTCTTCCGATGGGCAGCCTTAGAAATCTCCCACTGTACCCATTTCAGCGGGCCTGGAGAGGGGCTCCCTCAGAAAGCCCCCTGCTCCCCTAGAGTGAACTTTGTGTGCTCCACCGAGCTTTTATTTTATCGAGGGCTATTCCAGACATGCCCTGTGGATTTGGTAATGATCCGTCGCCCGTTTCTGGTTAGCGCGGTAACAGATGTAATTCTATTTGTGTGAGTTAGGTCTTTCCTACTTCTTTTGGTGTAAAAATACCCTAAAGGATGATGATTTTTTTTTGTCATCATCTACACTGGATGAAATGCAAAGTTGGTGCCCCTGTGTCGGTTTCCAAACCTGATTTGGAAGAGTCTCCTGGAGTGGCCCAGTGCCACTCTGAGCGAGTGCGTCTGTGCCGTGTGCTCCGTGGGTTGTTCCACGCGCCTGGCCTCCCTGGGCAAGGTCTGCGAAGGAGCGGCCTGAGAGCGTGCGAGCTGCAGGGATGGTCCCCACCGATGTGTCCCTGCAGGGGGGATGCATCTGGGGTCTGGGTTCAATGACCTGACTCCTCAGAGGTCCCCCTAAATGTGACCCAGTTGGGTGGCTGTTTGCTTGCGTCCTCCTTACCCCCAGTGATGATCACGTGACCATCCTGATCCACGCCAGTGTTTTCTGTGGTTTTGTCCTTGGTGAACGTGATCTGTGTCACTGTGGGGTGAGGTCGTGTCCACAGTCAATGTGTCAGTTGTCAGCGTGGCCTGTAAAGCAAACTCTGCAGCCAGTGCACCTGAGGAGACCCCAGGATCACCCAGCCTTCCCTCCCCAGGCTTAGAGTGGGGACCCCTGAGAGCAGGGACATAGAGGCTTGGAGTTAGCCACCTGCCGACTCCAGGTTGAAGGAGAGTGTGGGGTCAGAAGAGCCCCGTTTCTCCCCAAAGGGCCAGTCATCAGTATTTCGAGCAGCACCGTCCCACAGGGCTGGGGTGCAAGCCGGAGACGTCATTTGACATTTTCTAGTAGGAAAGGAATAAAGAGCAAAAGTAAAGAGAAACCGTGAAATTACTGTTCATAATAGTTCCACCGAGCTCCACACATTGTCGTTTCAGCTATAATCAATAAAAAAAAGAATGAGATATTTATTTTACATTTTTTTTTCCCCCTTGGTTTTTTTCTGAAATCAAATTTCAGAATCCACTGTGTGTGTCTTGCATCACACCGAATCTCAGTTTGGACCAGCCACGTTCTCAGTGCTCAGAAGCCACGTGTGGCCGGTGACCCGCATACTGGATGGCACAGCCCTAGCAGTTTCACATCCGAGAAAGGGGGGCTCTTGCGTCCCCGCTGGAGCCGGGCCCATCTCCTATTATAACCCCACCTCCACGCCTCCGAGTCGCAGGCCGTGTTCTCTCCTGAGCCAGGGCCTCTCTCCCCTGTGCCTGCCTGCCCTGGCAGCCCCTCCCGGGTGTGGAACAGCAGTGGAGCGTGTCCCCTGGAAGTCATTCTCCAGGGACATGCTGGGTCCCACCCTCGGGTGTTTGCTGCTACCCTGGACATGGGGACGAGCTCTGAAACGAGTTAATGATCCAAATGATGGGGCGATGTTTGTGTTGACAGTAAGAGCAGCAGGCCCTGGGCCCCTTCACAGGCCCCGAGCCAGGAAGAAGTGGGGCTACTTTTTCCTTATCCCTAGAAGGGACCAACTCTCCAGCGTCCCTCTACTTGTAGGAGACAAAGCCAGGACCTTCCCTGAGAACCCCCACTATCGGCCAGCGCCCCTTCCCGTCCCGCGTCTCTGCCTGGCCCTAGGGGCGGGATGGAGAGTCCCAGGCGGGCGGGCAGCGTAAGGAGGGGCTCAGAGTGCCCTGGCCAGGGCGGAGGGGACAGTTGGAGCATAAGCAAGCACGAGCCCTTTCTCCTGGCAGTCAGGGCGGGGGGCAGGAGCCTGTGGGCAACCTGGCCCTTGCAGGAGGAAGTAAGGTTGACTTCTGGCTGGGGAGTCACAGCCCCAAAGTGTTTTTCACTTTGGTTTCTCATGGTGGTGGCTCCGGCCTTCTCTGGAACCGTCCACAAACCGGTTATGGTCATGTGTTCAACTGGTCGTTGCTGGGCCTGTGCGGGGACACCGTGTTCAAAAGGCCCGGCCCTTCCCTCATGGCCTCACAGATTGGTTGAGGGGACAGCCAGCACTGGGCAGGAGAATTTGGAGGTGACATCTTGTGAGGAATGAAGCTGGCGAGGAGAAGGACTGGGTAACCGTGTCCAGTGGGGTGGCCAGGGAAGCCCTGTGGAAGAAGGGACATTTCAGGGAAGGCTGAGGAGGAGCCAGCCGTGAAGACTGTGTAGGGGGCCACGTTCCTGGAGACGGAACCGAACTTGCGAAGGCCCCGGGCCGGCGTGCGTGAGGAGAGGGGAGTGAGGCGGGCGCGGTGGCAGGGGCAGAGGGATCGGCGGGGCCGTGGTGAGGGTCTGGGCTTCCAAAGCAGCCAGACCCCACGGTCAGATACTTGATTTCAAGAAGTATCTTGAGGCCAGCAAGAAGGGGACCCCCAGTCATCCGGGCAGGAGCCCGTGGCTGGCCTGGGTGGGCCCACAGGTAGGAGAGGGGTGGGGTTGAGGCGGTGTGGAGGGTGCCCCAGGCAGGCTTTCGGAATAGATGAGGCAGATTCTGGGGAAGGCAGGCTCCAGGTGTCTGCCTGGGGTGACTTGGTGATGGAGGTGTCCCTGTGGGGAGATCTGGGGAGGCAGTTCGGGTGCCCAGGTCACGCTGTTCCCCGAGGGGGAGCACAGGGGTGGAAGCCAGAGACCACGAGCAGCCACGCAGGGAAGGGGTCCGGCGTCGAGATGCTGCAGGTGCCTGCAGGTCACATGTCCACCCCTCCCGTCCTCCTGCCTCTCCCCTCACCCCCACAGTGATCAACAAATACAAGCGCCGGCGATTTCAGAAAACCAAGAACCTGCTCACAGGAGAGACAGAAGCTGACCCGGAAATGATCAAGGTAAACAGGAGCAGGGCCCTCAGGGGCTCTGGTCTGTCACCACGGCTGACTGCCATAGGAGCTTGGTCAAGCCACTCCCCTCCCTGAGCCTCCCATGGGTTCCTTCTCTGGGAAGTGGCCTTAGGAACCAGCCGCCTCGGGGAGCAGGGAGGAGTCCAGGCAAGGCCACCGGGGCCAGTGTTCACGGTGTATGTGCACACACGCGCGGCCTCTCCCCAGCCCTGGGAGGGGGCTCCTGTCACCAGTCCTGTCTTTAGATGAGGGCTCTCGGCCACAGTCTCACAGCCAGGAAGCGGCAGGGCCGAGCGGAGACTCACACCCATGCAGCTGGGCCAGAGCCTGGGCCAGCGGGCACAGGAACTCGAGCTCTGGTGGGGATCGCAGGATGGCTCGTGGCTGTTACTCCCAGCGGGCTGGGGGAGCGGGGGGTTAACCTGCGCTGGGCACCCAGAGCCTTCCTCCCTCAGCACGGGGTCCTGGGTGGGGGCTGCCCCGCTTGCGGAGGTGCGGCTGCCGTGTGCAGCCTGCCTGAGGGCCTCGGGTTTCTGCTCTGTGGGGTGGAGGACACTGGCCACAGGGATCCTGGTGCTAGAGTCTGTAAGGCCAGGGTGAGCCCTCCACCAGCCGTCCCCGCGGCGGTTGATACTCTGCTGTCACGATCGTCACGGAAGCCCCCAGGAAGAAGTGAACAGAGGCCAGTGCCCCCCAGAAACTTCCATCTGCCTCTGAGGCCCACCCCCACCTCCATCTCCCCACAGAGGGCTGAGGACTACGGGCCGGTGGAGGTGATCTCCCACTGGCACCCCAACATTACCATCAACATTGTGGACGACCACACGCCGTGGGTGAAGGGCAGCGTGCCTCCGCCCCTGGACCAGTGTGAGCCCCCGCCCGCCCCGCCCCTTTCTCTCTCCCCCACCCCCTTTCCTACCCCGACACCCCAGCCACCCCAGACCCCCCCTGTGCACCAGAATCAGTCCACAGACAAGGCTCATCCAGCCCACAAGCTGTTTTAAAAAAATGTGCATTAGTTGCCAACTTTTGAAATTGAGGCAATATCACTTAAAAACCCAGATTTCTGGCTGCTTTTATAAAACTGGGATACGTGATCACTGCAGGGCAGCCGTGGGCTGGAGCTGGGCCTCGGCTGCCCGCTTCGGTTGCAGCCTGCCCGCCCTTTCCACCTGGTCCCTCCACGGAGGTTGGGCCCTTCACCTTCTCAAGGCACAGCCCAGAAGCGTCCCTTGTCCTCTGGACCCTGTCAGAGCAGCCCCCTTGGGTCCCTGCAGACATCTGAAGCCTCGTGGGTAAGCGGTGCCTCCCGCCCCGTGTCCCCGCAGATGTGAAGTTCGACGCCGTGAGCGGCGACTACTACCCCATCATCTACTTCAACGACTACTGGAACCTGCAGAAGGACTACTACCCCATCAACGAGAGCCTGGCCACGCTGCCGCTGCGCGTCTCCTTCTGCCCGCTCTCGCTCTGGCGCTGGCAGCTCTACGCCGCCCAGAGCACCAAGTCTCCCTGGAACTTCCTGAGCGACGAGCTGTACGAGCAGTCAGATGAGGAGCAGGATTCCGTGAAGGTGGGCGCCGGCCCGGGCGCGGCAGGGGCTTCCCAGCTCCTTCCTGGGCTGCAGGAGGCGAGGGGAAGTGGGATCTCCCGCCCGCCCGGCGCTCCCCTGCCCACAGTTTCACAACCTCCCGGCCCTCTCCCTGCAGCAGCAGGAAACGCGCCCTGGCTGGCTCCGGGGTCCTGTCTCAGGGGCCTTTCTGTGTGCTCGGCCAGGCCCCCTGGGGCTGGACCTGCCCCTGCCTGCCTCTGTCCCAAGCCCTGCGTGCCCCAGGTTTCAGCTCTGACTCCGTCCGTGTCTCTGCTCTCTCCCTGTGACCTTAAGTATGTGCCCTGGGCTGTCACCACTGCCGGGCCTGCTCCTCACTCCCTGTGCCCCTCACCTCTCAGCCCATCTCCTGCTGGGTCTCTGCCTCTCCCCTGTTGCTGTCTCCCCATCTCTTCTCTCTCTCTGCACATCACTCTCCTCTCTGCCCCCTGCCCGTCTCTGCCCCATGCTCCTCGTGGCTGGCACGCCCCTGCCCTCTCCCGGTGGCCCTGGAGGCAGGTCTGTGGGGAATGTCTTCAGGGGCTGGAAGGGGCTGGGCTGGTGAAGGTGCTACATGGGCAGCTCCCGGGCAGGGCAGTGCTCACAGGTGTGCCCCGCAGGTGGCCCTCCTGGAGACCAATCCCTACCTGCTGGCTCTCACCATCATCGTGTCCATCGTCCACAGCATCTTTGAGTTCCTGGCCTTCAAGAACGGTAGGGATGGGCCCCTGGGGCTGGTGAGAGGCCGTGCAGCCCTGCACGGGGGACAGGGCCTCCCCTCCTCCACACACGTCCTCCCCCTGCCTAAGGTCTCTCAGCCCCAGTCTCTAGAGGCCCAGCAAGCTAGGGAGGGGCCGTGGCCGATGCAGAAACTCCCACCCACTGGGCCTGGCCCTGAGGGAGGGCTGGGCCTGCGGCTCGGGCAGGGGCCAGGGCGGCACCTCCAGGAAGCAGGGCCGGGGAACTCCGAAGCCGAGAGCAGGGAAGCCCCAGAGCTGTTCCCTCTGTCCTGCCTGGCAGGGACCAGGGCCTGCCTGATGGGAAGGTGAGAGCCCTGTCCCCAGAAGGCCCCGGGTTCGAAGGCCAACAGTGTGATGGCCAGCGTTTGAGGAGTGGCCACGTGTCAGGCACTGTTCTAGGCACCCTTCCCAGGTAGCTCCTGAGTCCTTGCAGGAGCCATAGCCCTGGGAGGTCATTTGCCCACAGTCACACGGCTCCTAAATGGCAGCGCGTTCCAGCACCTGCCTTCATTCTAGTCCCTGGGGCCACTTCCTGCTCCCCAGAGCGTCCCCATTCTGAAGGAGGTGGCCTGCTGCCCTGAGTGTTACTGTTACTAAGATGCTGTTGTTGGCCGGGCGCAGTGGCTCACGCCTGTAATCCTAGCACTCTGGGAGGCCGAGGCGGGCGGATTGCTCAAGGTCAGGAGTTCCAAACCAGCCTGAGCAAGAGCGAGACCCCGTCTCCGCTAAAAAATAGAAAGAAATTAATTGGTATCACTCTTTGACCCTTGCCTGAAATAAAAAAAAAAAAAAAGAAAGAAAGAAATTAATTGGCCAACTAAAAATTTATAGAAAAAATTAGCCGGGCATGGTGGCTCATGCCTGTAGTCCCAGCTACCTGGGAGGCTGAGGCAGGAGGATCGCTCGAGCCCAGGAGTTTGAGGTTGCTATGAGCTAGGCTGATGCCATGGCACTCTAACCGAGGCAACAGAATGAGACTCTGTCTCAAAAGAAAAAAAAAAAGATGCTGTTGCCATTATCGAGACTATCTACCGCCTAGACAGGGGTCCTCAAACTTTTTAAACAGGGAGCCAGTTCACTGTCCCTCAGACCGTTGGAGAGTATGCACTGTGGCCCCTGGACGAGTCGGCTGCTAAGCAGGACAGGCAGCTGCAGCAAAAACACCCGGCCGGCAGGATAAATGTCCTAGGTGGGCGGCATGTGGCCCTCAGGCAATAGTTTTGAGGACACCTGGCCTAGAAGAACGTAGCGTCCAAATGGCGCAGTAGCTGGCGCTGTCTCAGCCGTCGCCTGTGGAGCTCGCTGTGCCCATATAGGCGCTGTCTCACTAGACCCTTCTGCTGGCCATGGGCTGGGCTAGCTGGGGTCCCTGTTTGCCAGATGAGAAATGAAGCACAGGAAGCTGTGGTCCCTTGCCAGGGTCACATGCGGGTGGTGCGGGCCCCCACACGCTCTGTGCTGTGTAGCTTCCTTGGTCTGAGGATGGGTTCAGATTCCCCCAACCCCCCAGAGCCCCGTCTGTAGACCCTTCTTCCCAGTCTGATGGGTGGAGGTGGGCAGGGTGGGCCTGTGGAATGTGCTGGAGCTCTGGGATGGGGGACTTGGGAGCAGGGCCAGAATTCATAGCCCTCACTCCCTGAGCACAGAGCTGGCTCTGACTCTGTGTGGCCGCTATGGGACAGGAATGCTAGGTTGGCCTCCCGTGGCTGCAGTTAGACAGATGAGCAGCCCAGGCAGGGTCAGGGCAGTGCCCATCGGGGAGCCAGGGTCCTCTGGGCGGTGTGCACGCAGAACGCTGGAAGGAGCTCCTGGTTGGAGACCAGAGTCCAGGGCTCTTGTCTGTGCCCCAAGGGTGTCTATGGGCCAGTCCTTCCCAGTGTCAGGCTTGGGGGTTGGAGGAGGTGGTCTCAAGGGACATGCCCTGGATCTCCCCGCCCAGGAGAGACAGGTTGGCACCATGGTGTGACACTGACCCCGGCATCCTCCAGATTGTGCGGTGCCCAGGTGTGTGGCCTGCCCTGGGGAAGCCGTTCCGCTGCTTAGCCCTTAGCCCATCGTGGCAGCAGTCACTGTCCGCACCAGTCCAGGGACCGCACCCTGGCCACTGGTTGCCGATGTCCTACAGGAGGGCTGCAGAGGTCCTGCCTGTCTGGTGTTCCGGCGTCACCAGTGAACAAGAGGCTCTTCATGGGGGACAGGAATAATGTCCCCCGCCCCCCCGGAAGACCCAGCCCGGCCCTGGGGTCTGGGGAGGATGCAGGCCAGGGGGCCTGAGGGAGCTGCAGGAGACTGGGGGGGTTCTCAGTCTCCTGGTTCCCCACTGCCTGTGCACAGACATCCAGTTCTGGAACAGCCGGCAGTCCCTGGAGGGCCTGTCCGTGCGCTCCGTCTTCTTCGGCGTTTTCCAGTCGTTCGTGGTCCTCCTCTACATCCTGGACAATGAGACCAACTTCGTGGTGCAGGTCAGCGTTTTCATCGGGGTCCTCATCGACCTCTGGAAGATCACCAAGGTCATGGACGTCCGGGTAAGGCTGGGTGCCATACTGTCTCAGGGTGCAGGGGCTGGGAGGCGGGTAAGTGGGGCCCAGCCAGACCCTGGAGCTGGCCCCCGGGGGTTTCCCAGCTCCTGTCGCACTCCTAGGACCGAGGGGATTTTCACACCAGGGGATTTTTCGGGTCACACGTGGGGCAGGGGAACTGGGAACAGTGGGAAAGGGCAGGGGCTGGGGCTGGCCTGGGGGGCGGGAGCCAGCCTAGCAGCTGATCCGCTGCCTTTGTCCCCAGCTGGACCGGGAACACAGGGTGGCAGGAGTCCTCCCCCGCCTAACCTTCAAAGACAAGTCCACGTATATCGAGTCCTCGACCAAAGTGTATGATGATGTGAGTGCCCCCCATGGTGGGCCCTGGGGGGTGGTCTCCAAGCACCCACACACTCCTGGAGGACGGGGTCCAGGCCATCTGACTGCCAGGCCCATGCTTTATGGCCGGTGTCACACCCTCTGTGTCTGTCCCCCACCTGCCGTGACTACTTACTGGCTAAGTCCAGATTCCCCAGGGCTACCTGGAAATTCCCCTGCGTGTCCTGCCAGACTAGGTATGGGTGGCTGAGGGTGGGGAGCAGGAATGCAGGTGGGGCCCAAAGAGCTGGGTCTCAGCTCTGCCCTTGACCCCACAGATGGCGTTTCGGTACCTGTCTTGGATCCTCTTCCCACTCCTGGGCTGCTACGCCGTCTACAGCCTGTTGTATCTGGAGCACAAGGGCTGGTACTCCTGGGTGCTCAGCATGCTCTATGGCTTCCTCCTGACCTTTGGTGAGCACGCCCTGTGCTGGGTGGTGTTGGGGACTCCGCAGGGGTCAAGTTCAGCCTGGCCCTTCCTTTTGTGGGCTCTCGGTCCTGTGTGGGAGACAGACCCATCTCCAGACGGGTGGGATGTGAGGAGCCCCAGGCAGGAGCCTGGCCCTGCCTGGGGTCAGGGAGGGCTTCCAGGAGGGTGTGAGCAGTAGGTTTCAGTCCCTGTCCTCAGGGGCCATTTCGTCTTGTGTGGAAGCCAGGGAGTAAACAAGCAGACAGGCGGGTTGCAGTGAGGAATGCGCGCTGCCAAGGACAGAGTGGGGCGCGCAGAGTGGGTCAGGAGGACCCCTCCAAGGAGAGGACTTTGAACTGAGGCCTGAAAGATCTAGGGAGGGAGCCATGCCAGAGCCAGTGACGGGGGCAGAGCAAGTGCAAAGGCCCCGAGGAAGGATGTGGGGGTGTCTTTAGGCCTTCAGGGCTGGTTCGCTGGGAGCCAGGAGAGGGTGGCGGGAAATGCAGGCAGCGAGGTCCGGGCTCGGCAGGCCCCTCCCTCGGCTCACGGGTGTCTTTCCGTGCAGGCTTCATCACCATGACGCCCCAGCTCTTCATCAACTACAAGCTCAAGTCCGTGGCCCATCTGCCCTGGCGCATGCTCACCTACAAGGCCCTCAACACCTTCATCGATGACCTGTTCGCCTTTGTCATTAAGATGCCCGTTATGTACCGGATCGGCTGCCTGCGGGACGGTGAGGCCGGGCGGGCGGGCGCTCCCAGCAAGCGGGCACAGGCAGGACTGGGGAGGAGTGGGGGCTCAGTCTGGGGGTGCGGCCCACTCTCTGCAGGACCCCCACTGCACACCTGCCCGGTCGCGGGTGGGGCAGGCCCTTCCCTCACACTGCCCGCCCCCCGCTCCCCCAGACGTGGTTTTCTTCATCTACCTGTACCAACGGTGGATCTACCGCGTCGACCCCACCCGGGTGAACGAGTTCGGCATGAGCGGAGAGGACCTGACAGCAGCTGCTTCTGTGGCCCAGGCCCCCGCCGCCGCCGGGGCCCTTACACCTGCGCCCGCCCCCGCCAGCACCGCCGCCGCCAGGGAGGAGGCTTCCGCGTCCCTGTCCACCAAGCCCGCCCAGGGGGCCAGCTCTGCCAACGAGCCCCAGGAAGCCCCTCCAAAGCCAGCAGAGGACAAGAAAAAGGATTAGCCGCTCCTAGTCCTCCAGTCCTCTCCAGCTCCCGGTGACACCCCTCCGCCCTGGCCCCCCTCGCCTCCCCTCCCTGTCACCCCTTCCATGGACAGATCGGGCCGGGGTGGCAGGAGGCCCCCATCGGGCCGGGGCCAGCGTGTGATGTGGGGCTGGGGCAGGCCAGGGCTCGTCGTGTGTGGAGGCGCCGTCTGTCCGTCTGTTCCTCTGTGTGTCCAGCCATCTCGCCCTGCCAGCCCAGCACCATTGGGAATCATGGTGAAGCCGACGTGGCGCTGCCGAGGGTGGGCCAGGCGGGGGAGGGGCCGGGGCCCTCTGTGGGACACCCACGGCCATCTATCATCTCGTCCCTCATTCCCCGACCATCCTCCCTCCCAGACCGCCGCCCTTTAACACAGTCTGGATTTAATAAATTCATATGGGTGTTTAACTTAAACTCGACAACTGCCCCTCCTCCTCGTGCCTTCCTTCCTCTGTCGCCTGGGAGAGCAGCTTGGCGCGGGGCGGCTCTCCTGGGCGCAGGACGTGGACAGGTGGGGACAGGGAGCCTCTGTTGAGAGCGGTGCCTGCTGGGCCGGCCTCTTCCTCACTTCTCCCCCCACCAGCCCTCTGAGGGGACTTCCGTCCCTGCCCCCATTTCTCCGACGCCTGGGGAAGCTGCTTGCCGCGAGCTGGCTGCCCCCAAGCTGGCCAGCAGAGGCCCAGAGCCTCCGCCTGCCGCCTGCATGTCCCCCAGCTGGCACCGCAGCCGGGCCTGGCCCCTGAGCAGAGGCGCCACCACCCTTCCCGAAGGCCTCTGCAGTCGGCAGCCGAGCGCCCTGGACGTGTGTCTTCACCGTCCTAGCCTTACACCCCTCGCCCCCAGGGCTGCAGGGGTACAGGGGTGAAGACTTCAAGTGCCTGAGTGGCGCCTGGCCGTGGTGCTCTGTGGCTCTTGGGGTGTCATTGGCATCCCCAGGGCTGCCTGTGCCGAGGACCCAGCCACGCTCAGTGCGTGGCACGTGTCCCTTCCCAGCCCAGGCCCTGGGTGCCGGGACCGTCGACCCACTTTGGGGGTGAGCTGACTGAGGCCTCTGAGTTTCTCTCATTCTAGGGATGGGGACCCCACATTCCTAGATTTTCGTTTTGGGGGCGTGGTCTCATCACTGCAGGGAGGGAAGGCCTGGGGCTGAGCACTCAGCCACGTTCTTTCAGGCTCACCTGCCATCCACCGTGTGGGGCCAGGCAGGGGATCCATGAAGTGCCAGGAAAATGCTGGGGTGCACAGAGCCCCACACCACACATACACAAACAGGGTACTGCAGTCTCCTCCCATCCCTCAGGATCTGCTCTATTCCCTCTCCTGCTCTATATCATTCCGTGGCTCCCCAGTGCCCTTGGAGAAACCCCAGGCTCTGCTCCGTCCCTTCTCCCATGGGCTCCTAAGAACCCAGGTGGGGCAGGGGTAGGCAGACCCTCAAGGGGCATCACCTTGACTCACTAACCTCATCACCCCAGCTCCTCCACACAGCCCCATGCCCAAGCCTCTGGCAAGACCCATCGGCTGCACCCTGCAATTGCTTCAGAGTCTCAGCTCTTCACTGCCACTGGGACTACCTGATCCAGGCCCCTGCTCACTCTTTGAGGTCCCCACTGAGTGTCCTCCCTGGTCTCCTGCCCCAGTCCTGCCCCTCCCACCTCCCATTCACACTCCAGCCAGCAGCTAGAGGGAACTTTCTAGAGCACAAACCTGACCTTACCTGGCCCCTGCTCAGAACCTCCCATGGCTCCCCAGTGCCCTTGGGTGAAGAGCCCAGGCTACTAACGAGGTAGCGTAGCGGAACCTGGAAGGGAGGCTTCTTAACCCCATCAGCCAGCCAGGTCTCCCTCGCTCTAACTTGCTGTGGTTTCTTACCTCCCAGTCGGAGACCATGCTGTTCCCTCCGTCTGGCACATGCTCCAGGCGCACAACCCCTCTTTACCTGTCCCCGTGTGTCCCTCCTCTAGGAAGCCCTCCTTGACCCCCAAGTCCTCTGGCCTCAGCAGCCCTGCCCACTCGGTGTCATCACTGGGGCCAGGGCAGTCTCCATTGGACAGAGACCCATGAGGACATACCCAAGGCTGTCGCGGTCACTGCCATGTCCCTGGCACAGGGCTGAGTGCAGAGGAGGGGCTCCAGGACTGTCTGCTGAGTATTTGAACAATCCCGACATTCACTTTCCTGGACGCACAGACACATCCAGAAATGTGGCCCTTGGTGGGAAACCGGTGGAGAGAGACTGATGTCCACTCAAATGACCCCTTCCCTGGGACCAAGCAGTCCCAGGCCTGCCCTCATGGGGTTAACAGCCCACCAGAAATCCTGAGCACTGAGGATATCGGATGTGTCCTTTCAGTTATTCATTCAGCACACTTTTTTTTTTGTTTTGAGACAGAGTCTTGCTTTGTTGCCCACGATAGAGTGAGTGCCGTGGCATCAGCCTAGCTCACAGCAACCTCAAACTCCTGGGCTCAAGCAATCCTCCTGCCTCAGCCTCCCAAGTAGCTGGGACTACAGGCGCAAGCCACCACGCCCGGCTAATTTTTTGTTTCTATGTTTTTAGTTGACCAGCTAATTTTTTCTGGTTTTAGTAGAGATGGGGTCTCACTCTTGCTCAGGCTGGTCTTGAATTCATGAGCTCAAGCCATTCTCCTGCCTTGGCCTTCCAGAGTGCTAGGATTACAGGCATGAGCCACTGCGCCCGGCCATGTCCTCAGCTTTTAAAGCAGTGCCTGACACCTCACAGCAGTGAGCAATATAGCAAGATCTCATCTGTACAAAAAACAGAAAACTTACCTGGTCATGGTGGCATCCACCTGTAGTCCCAGCCACTCGAGAGGCTGAGGCAGGAGGATCGTTTGAACTCAGGAGTTCAAGGTTGCAGTGGCCTATGATGACGCCATTGCACTCTATAGCCCATGCAACAGAGTGAGACCTTGTCTCAAACAACAAAAAAAGTGTCAACTATTTTATTTAATCCTTAAGACCATCCTACTATTAAACCCACTTTATAGAGGGGAAACTGAAGCTCAGAGAGATGAAGTCAATTGCCTGAAGTCACACAGGGGGCAAGTGGGAGATGTAGGATTTGAACCCATGCAGTCTGATTCTGGAGTCACAACCTCTCTTGTGATGCTCTTGTAGCGTGCAGAGTACAGCCAGCAGGCCAAAGCCCACCTGCCACCTATTTTTGCATTTTTATTTTATTTATTTTGCATTTTTGTTTTATTTTTAGAGAAATGGCCTCACTGTATGTCCCAGGCTGGTCTTGAACTCTTGGCTTTAAGTGATCCTCCCACCTCAGCCTCCAACCAGTAGGATCACAAGGTTGAGCACTGAACGCAGAAGTTTTCACCTTTTTAAGTGATTGGAAAAAAAAAAAATCTAAAGAATATATTGTTGGTTTTTTTTTTTTTGAGACAGAGTCTCGCTTTGTTGCCCAGGCTAGAGTGAGTGCCGTGGCGTCAGCCTAGCTCACAGCAACCTCAAACTCCTGGGCTCAAGGGATCCTCCTGCCTCAGCCTCCCGAGTAGCTGGGACTACAGGCATGCACCACCATGCCCGCCTAATTTTTTCTATATATAGTAGTTAGCCAATTAATTTCTTTCTATTTATAGTAGAGACAGGTCTTGCTCTTGCTCAGGCTGGTTTCAAACTCCTGACCTCGAGCAATCCGCCCGCCTCGGCCTCCCAGAGTGCTAGGATTACAGGCGTGAGCCACCGCGCCCGGCCTGTTTCATAGGAAAATTATATAAAATCCAAATGTTGATACCCATGAAATGTTTTACTGGAACATTTACTGTAGCCGTACTCATTATTTATGTACTGTCTTGGGCTGTTTTTGCACAGTGGTAGAGTTGAGAGTTGAGACCGTCTGGCCCTTGAAGCCTCAAGCAGAACATGTTTGCTCTCTGGCCCTTTGCAGAAATTGTTCTGTGTTTTCCTCTATGGTGGGAATTCTCCAACTTGCACCTACATCCACAACGCCTGGCCACACTTGGAGACCTGCTGGCGTCCACTGTTCTGCCTCCCACAAGAAGGTACCGGGCTTGAGTTGGTGAGCGCTCTGCCTTAGCACCCAGTATAGGTTGTGTCACACAGCAGGTGCTCAAAGAGTGTATCTTGGGCCGGGCCCAGTGGCTCACGCTTGTAATCCTAGCACTCTAGAAGGTCAAGGCAGGTAGATCGCTCAACGCCAGGATTTCAAAACCAGCCTGAGCAAGAGCAAGACACTGTCTCTAGTATAAATAGAAAGAAATTAATTGGCCAACTAAAAATATATGGAAAAAATGAGCCAGGCATGGTGGCGCATGCCTGTAGTCCCAGCTACTCGGGAGGCTGAGGCAGAAGGATTGCCCGAGCCCAGGAGATTAAGGTTGCTGTGAGCTAGGCTGACGCCACTGCACTCACTCTAGCCTGGGCAACAAAGCGAGACTCTGTCTCAAAAAAAAAAGTATGTTGAATGAATCAATGAGTCCCCATGGGCCATGGGGGAAGAAGTGGAACACTCAAATTTTACGCAAGCAGACATTGGGAGAACACCAGGCCCTGGCTCTGTGGTTTGTGGGTGCCTGGCATCCAAGTTTGAACCTAATAAAGCCACCCAGTCATTCTCAGAGACATTGGAGGCTTAGAAATGTGATCTAGCCAAATGGCTGCTCCTCTTTCAGCCTCAGTCTCTTTTGCGATAATCTTAATAATCCTAATTGTATTTTTTTTTTTTACACAGAGTCTCAGTCTGTTATCAGGGCTAGAGTGCTGTGGCCTCAGCCTAACTCATAGCAACCTTCAACTCCTGGGCTCAGTTTTCCCGCATCAGCCTCCCGAGTAGCTGGGACTACAAGTACACACCACCACGCCCAGTTAAGTTTTCTATTTTTTGTAGAGATGGGGTGTTGCTCTTGCTCAGGCTGGCCTCGAACTCCTGACCTCAGGCGATCCTCCTGCCTTAGCCTCCTAGTGCTAGGATTACAGGCATGAGCCACTGCACCCGGCCAACAATCTTAATTCTCAATAAACATTTCTTTTTATGTTCCAGGAGGATACAAGGAACAAAACCGAAATCCTGAAGCTGACACTCTAAACGTCCATTAAATATCTTTATCAGTTGAAGAAACTGAGGTACTGAGATACCTTGGAGGTTTCATAAAAGATCATTAATATCAACGGCAGTTGTAGAATCCTGGTAATCTCACGGTCCTTCCAGCCTGACAAACAGCAGGTTCAAGTCCCACTGGGAGACCAAGGGTGGAGTGGGCTCAGTTTCCCGGCTTGTCTAATGGGCATGGCGTGAGCGGCCCTAAGCAGGCCTCAGTTGTCTCGTCCAGGGCAATGGGCAGCGACGCCCGCCCAACCCCTGCAGAGCGCCCAGCCTCTTCTTCCCGGCCGGCCCCGCCCCCGCTGTCACGTGACGCGTGGGGGTTTTCCCGTTCCCCTGACGTGACGTCACGACAGGGTGCGGGCCAATGGGCGCGCAGGCCGGTGGCGCCGGGGAATTCCGCTGCCCCGCCCCCGCCCACCGCCCGCCCGGCCCGGCCCGGCGCCCCCCGCTAGCCCGGGCGCCGCACGTCCAGCCCGGCCTGCGGCCCCAGCCTTTGCGCCGCTCGCCCGGCCCGCGATCGTCCACTGGACGGTGCCGCCGGGCTGCCCGGCCTGCCCGCGTGCGCGCCTCGGTCTGGGCCCTCCTCCGGGCCGTCCGACCCACTGGCAGGGCCATGCCGAGTCGCCGCGTCGCCAGACCGCCCGCTGCGTCGGAGCTGGGGGCCTTGGGTAAGCGGAGCCGGGGTTCGGGAGAGGAGTCCGGGGCGGGGCTGGAGATGCAAGGGTGCCGGGGGTCCCGGAATAGTCTGGGAGTTCCTATGGGAGTCTCGGGGTTTCGCGGAGGGGAGTGTGAGTGTTCCGGAGACACTGTACTGGAGCGCGGGAAGGGGGCAGAGGACGCTGAGGGGGTCCGGCCCAAGGTCCGAACGAGGCGTCCCACTGTACAGTGAGAAGGGGGCGGGGCCTGTCCTTGAGGCAAAGAAGGGGGCGGGCCCGACTTCGTGAGGGAGAAGGGGCGGGGCCTGACCCAAAGAGGGCGGAGCTGGAGCTGCTCTGGGGAGGTGGGGACGCGGCCTGGTTCAGAGAGGGAGAAGAGGCGTGGCTTGACTCAGAGAGGGCGGAGCTGGAGCCGCTCCGAGGGGCATGGGGGCGGAGCCAGGTTCAGAGAGGGGAGAAAAGGAGGAGTCTGGCTCGCAGAGGGGCGGGACTGACCGTGAGGAAGAGAAGAGGGCGGGGCCTAACTCAAAGAAGGAAGCAGGGCCCTATCGGAGGGGTGAGGGGGCGGGGCCTGGCCCTGAGGGAGCGCAGGGACGGGGCGGGACCCTGGCGGAGCAAAGGGGAAGGGCCTGTTCTGAAACAGGGAGGCGGGGCCTGACGCCGAGAATGGAGAGGGGTGGGACTCGAGAGGGAGAAAGGGGCGGGCTTGACCCTGAAGGGGTGGGGGCTTTTCCAACGGAGGTTGAGAAGGGGTCCCCAGGCCCAGCCCTAGGGAGAGGAGGAGGGGCCTGAGTGTGATGAAGGGTGGTGAATGGCAGGATGACAGGCCTTAGGGAGGGCCGCGTGGCCAGACCCTGCGGGCGGTAGGAGAGCGCGCGGATCCCACGGGGCGGGGCCGGGAACGGGAAGAGTGGGGCTTGGGAGAGCCTCGGGCCTCCGCTCCCCGCGGTCACCGCCTGAGACATGCCTTCCTCTCTGCAGGCTCCGCTGACCTCTCCTCGCTCTCGCTTGCAGTTTCCAGGACCACGGGTGAGCAGCCCTCCACAGTCCCTGCCCACTCCACGTGCAGAAAGGGGCTGGGGGGGGCTTGTGGAGACCGCACGGCATGCCTCTGTCTGGAGGAGGGTTCATTGAGGTCCACCTCGGCTTTCCCCCGATGGCTGTGTCCCTCCCTGCCCGTTGAGATGGTCCCCCTAGGTGTCCCTACCTCCTGGGCACTTAGGAGTTTAACAGGTTGAACTAACCACCTATTCAGGTCAGGAGCCCTCTTTAGAGATTCACCGTGGTGTAGCAGAGGGTGATGACTGCCATCCTGATTGCTTTGGTCTTTGGTTTCTATGCTGCTGCCACCACCCCCTCACTGTGTGAATGTCTGCAAGTCACTCCCCCAGTCTGGGCCTCGGTTTTCCTCATCTGTAAAATGGGCACAATATCAGTGCCTCTCTTTCAGGGGGATTGAAAGAATTCAATGAGTTGATACAGGTAAATTTTCAAAGCAGTGTCTGGTACACAGTGAAGGCTCAATAAATGTTAACTGTTAGTGGTATAATAACAACAATAATGATTATGATAATAATTATTATTAGAGAGTCTATAATGGTGATTCTTAAACCATGTGCATCAAAATGACCCAGAGGGCTTGTTAGAACAGAAAGAGTGGGGCTTGAGAGAGCCTCCGGGCCTTTTTAGGCCCCACCTCTACAGGTTCTTATTCAGATGGGCCCTGAGATTTTGCATTTTTAGCAAGTTCCCAAAAGATGCTGAGAACTACTGGTCTATAATGTCCATCAGCCAAAATTCAGTGCTGCCTAAGGAAATGCAGAATCTTGGCCAAATTATTACATTCTCTCTTATAAATCTGGTGGGATTTGGAAGAGAGGGGCAGAGGCCTATCATTGTGAATGCTCGGTGGCCTGGGCTAGTCGAGTCTGACCTTGCTCGGGGGGTAGCATCTTGGGATGGATCCCAAAAGTGCTGTGTTGGCTATGGAGGAGATGCTACAGGCTCCCCCAGCAGGTCTGAAAATTTAGGGGGTGGTAGAAAGGCGGGGGATGGCATTGAGGACAGGTACTGCCCACGTGCTGGTTCTTGGCAGGGTCAAAGCTGAGACTTTTCTGGCCTAAGACCTAGATCTTTGGTTTCAAGCGAGAGTCATTTCTGACATCATTCAATAAATATTTATTGAGCACCTGTTTTGTACCTGGCCCTCTGCTGGGCAGTGCTAAGGACGGCCCTGGCCCTGTCTCATGGGGTTCCTTATCTAAATAGGGAGGCAAGCTTATAAATAATAAATTAAATGTAGAATTATAAAAGGTGATAAGGGCTGTGAAGAAATCTCGGTGTCAATGATATTTAACAGCAGGGTGGGGATAGGAGAACTAGTGACCTAGAGTGGTAAGGAAAATCGCCTTCATTTTGAAGGGCCAGGCAGACGCTGGGCCCTGGGGATACGACGAGGATGGGCACACATGCTCCCCACTCTTTAGTGGTCTCATCTATAGGAGGAGACAGGTATGAATCACGGTACTGCGAGGCCTTGTGAAATCCTAATCAGTTCCATTAAAAGTATATAACAGGCCGGGTGCGGTGGCTCACACCTGTAATCCTAGCACTCTGGGAGGCCAAGGCTGGAGGATCACTCAAGGTCGGAGTTGGAAACCAGCCTGAGCAAGAGCTGAGACCCCGTCTCTACTATAAATACAAGGAAATTAATGGCCAACTAAAAATATATAGAAAAAATTAGCCAAGCATGGTGGCGCATGCCTGTAGTCCCAGCTACTCGGGAGGCTGAGGCAGCAGGATCGCTTGAGCCCAGGATAGAGTGAGTCCGGCGTCAGCCTAGCCACAGCAACCATCAGACTCCTGGGCCTCAAAGCGGATCCTCTCTGCTCCAGCCTCCGAGTTAGCTGGACTACAGCATGCACCACCATGCTGCCTAATTATTTCTATATATAGTAAGTTTGCCAAGTATTTCTTCTATTAATTAGGACAGTTTGCTCTTGCTCAGTACTGTTCGAACTCCTGACCCAAGAGCAATCCCCCCACCTCGGCTCCCATAGTGCTAGATACAGCCGTGAGTTACACTGTGCCCAGCCGATATTGATTTCAAGAAATATAAAAATTCCAAAATGTTGATACCCATGAAATGTTTTACTGAAACATTTACTGTAGCTCACTCATTTTGTATGTATGCTTTGGCTGTTTTTGGCAACATGTGGTAGTTGAGAGTTGATACCGTCTGGCCCTTGAAGCCTCAGACGAACATGTTGCGCTCTGCGCCCTTTGCATATGCTCTGTGTTTTCCTCTATGGTGGGAGTTTCCACACTTGCACCTACATCACAGCCGCACGCTTAGACCTGCTGGCGTCCACTGTTCTGCCCTCCCAACGAGAATGTAACCGGGGCTTGAGTTGGTGAGCGCTCTGCCTTTAGACCAGTATAGGTTGTGTCAACACAGCAGGTGCTCAAAGAGTGTATGTTGGCCGGGCCCAAGTGCTCAACGCCTGTAATCCTAGCACTCTGGAGGCCAAGGCAGGTAGATCGCTCAACGCCAGGAGTCAAACCAGCTGAGCAAGAGCATGACACCGTCCTATATAAATAGAAAGAATTATTGCCAACAAAAAATATGAAAAAATTAGCCAGGCATGGTGGCATGCCTGTATCCCAGCTACGGAGAGGCCTGAGGCAAGAGAGGATTGCGTGAGCCCAGGAGTTAAAGGTTGTGTGAGCTTAGCTGACCGCACGGCACTCACTCTAGCCCTGGGCAACAAAGCGAGACTCGTCTCAAAAAAAAGTATGTGAATGAATCAATTGATCCCCATGGGCCAATGGGGGAAGAAGTGAAACTCAATTTACGCAAGCCAGACATGGAGAACCAAGCCGCTGCTCTGTGGTTGTGGGTGCCTGGCATGCAAAGTGGAACTAATAAAGCCACCCAGTCATTCTCGAGAACATTGGAGGTTAGAATGTGATCTAGCCACAATGGCTGCTCTCTTTCAGCCTCATCTCTTTTGCGAAATCTTAATAATCCTAATGTGTATTTTTTTTTTTTTACACAGGTCTTCAGTCTTTACAGGCTAGAGTGCTGCTGGCCTCAGCCTAATCTGAACACTTCACTCCTGGGTCAGTTCCCGCATCGCCTCCCGAGTAGCTGTGGACTACAAGTACCACACCACCACGCCCGCCTAAGTTTTCTTTTTTTGTAGAGATGGGGTTGCTCTTGCTCAGGCTGACCTCGAACTCCTGACCTCAGGCGACCTCCGCCTTAGCCTCCTAGTGCTAGATTACAGGCATGAGCACTGCACCCCGGCCAACAATCTTATTCTCAATAAACATTATTTTAATGTTCCAGGAGGATACAAGACAAACCGAAATCCTGAAGCTGACACTCTAAACTCCATTAAATATCTTTATCAGTTGAAGAAACTGAGTACTGAGATACTTGGAGGTTTCATAAAAATCATTAATATCAACGGATTGTAGAATCCTGGTACTCACGGTCCTTCCAGCCTGACAAACAGCGAGTCAAGTCCCACTGGAGACCAAGGGTAGAGTGGGCTCAGTTTCCCGGCTTGTCTAATGGGCATGGCGTGAGCGGCCTAAGCAGGCCTCAGTTGTCTCGTCCAGGGCAATGGGCAGCGACGCCCCCCAACCCCTGCGAGCGCCAGCCTTCTTCCCGGCCGGCCCGCCCCCGCTGTCACGTGACGCGTGGTTTTCCGTTCCCTGACGTGACGTCACGACAGGTGCGGCCAATGGGCGCGCAGGCCGGTGGCGCCGGGAATTCCCGCTGCCCCGCCCACCGCCCCCGCCCGGCCCGGCGCCCCCGCTACCCGGCGCCGCACTCAGCCCGGCCTGCGGCCCAGCCTTTGCGCCGCTCGCCCGCCCGCGATCGTCCACTGGACGGTCCGCCGGGCTGCGCCGTGCCCGCGTGCGCGCTTCAGTCTGGCCCTCCTCCGGGCCGTCCGACCCACTGGCAGGGCCATGCCGAGTCGCCGCGTCGCCAGACCGCCCGCTGCGTCGAGCTGGGGCTTGGGTAAGCGGAGCCGGGGTTCGGAGAGGAGTCCGGGGGGGCTGGAGATGCAAGGGTGCCGGGGGTCCGATTAGTCTGGGAGTTCCTATGGGAGTCTCGGGTTCGCGAGGGGAGTGTGAGTGTTCCGGAGACACTGTACTGAGCGCGGGAAGGGGCAGAGGACGCTGAGGGGGTCCGGCCCAAGGTCCGAACGAGCGTCCCACTGTTACAGTGAGAAGGGGGGGGCGTGTCCCGAGCAAAGAAGGGGGCGCCGACTTCGTGAGGGCGAAGGGCGGGGCCTGACCAAAGAGGCGGAGCTGGAGCTGCTCTGGGGTCCTGCCTTGGCCTTCCAGAGTGCTAGGATTACAGGCATGAGCCACTGCGCCCGGCCATGTCCTCAGCTTTTAAAGCAGTGCCTGACACCTCACAGCAGTGAGCAATATAGCAAGATCTCATCTGTACAAAAAACAGAAAACTTACCTGGTCATGGTGGCATCCACCTGTAGTCCCAGCCACTCGAGAGGCTGAGGCAGGAGGATCGTTTGAACTCAGGAGTTCAAGGTTGCAGTGGCCTATGATGACGCCATTGCACTCTATAGCCCATGCAACAGAGTGAGACCTTGTCTCAAACAACAAAAAAAGTGTCAACTATTTTATTTAATCCTTAAGACCATCCTACTATTAAACCCACTTTATAGAGGGGAAACTGAAGCTCAGAGAGATGAAGTCAATTGCCTGAAGTCACACAGGGGGCAAGTGGGAGATGTAGGATTTGAACCCATGCAGTCTGATTCTGGAGTCACAACCTCTCTTGTGATGCTCTTGTAGCGTGCAGAGTACAGCCAGCAGGCCAAAGCCCACCTGCCACCTATTTTTGCATTTTTATTTTATTTATTTTGCATTTTTGTTTTATTTTTAGAGAAATGGCCTCACTGTATGTCCCAGGCTGGTCTTGAACTCTTGGCTTTAAGTGATCCTCCCACCTCAGCCTCCAACCAGTAGGATCACAAGGTTGAGCACT